GCAATGGCGGCACCGAAGGGGCTCCGAATGGACATGGGAGCTGGAGGATGGGATGCGAGATCACTACCCGGACTTATTTAGGTCAGCAGACTTCGAGGACGAAGTCTATTTCAAGTTGGGGAGATTTGTAACACCTGTTCCAGGTATTATTTAATTTATCTAATTTTTTTAAGGTTTTGTGCATGGACTCGGCGAGTTGGGGAACTCCAACTCGTCGAGTAGAGGTTACTATGAGGACACGGGACTTCAGACCTACTCGACGACTCGGAGGACCCGACTCGAAGAGTAGGCACTGTAAAGAGAAACCCTAATTTTCAGGGGTTTGTACCCTATTTAAAGAACTTATGGCTCATTTGCAGCCTCTTCTATCGTTCCTACAGCCAGAGAAACCCTAGTTTGAGCCTTGCACCTTCTTGAGTGTGTGTGTGTGTGTGTGTGTGTGTGTGAGCTTTTGAAAGTGATTTTGGTGTGGTTGTGAATGATTTTGGAGCTTGAATAAGAAGGAGTATAGAGAGAAATAGTAGATCCGACATCTACTCTGTATTAGCAACCATCTTGAGGTATAAAGTCACTATCTTGATCTTTAGTTGCTTAGATCCCTTTTCTTTGAAGTAAATGGTCACTTTTGGTGCCAAAAAGGATGTCATACTTGGATTTGGACTTATCACAAGGATATGGTTCCAGCTCTGGACATCTCTAGGTCCTCAATGACAATTTTTTGAAAACCGGACCGGACATTGAACCGGTCTCATTAGCGGGTCGATGGTTCAACTGGTCCAACCGGTCGGACCGGACCAAAAAACCGGATATATATATATATATATATATATATATATATATATATATATATATATATTACGATTCATATTTTGGTGAGATGGGAGTAAAAGGTTATAATATTACTCTATTATTTATGTGAAGAAAAATAACCTTCTTTCGACTTGTGAATTTGTTATTGCTTTTGTCCATGTTCCCACATCGACTAGATGAAAAGAAACAAAAGAAATTATATCTTAATAAATAGATGGAAAGAAGTAGAATTTGGCAAAGTTATCCCACATCGGTTGTGTATAAAAAGGTTCAAGGTTGATGTCCTTTTAAAAGGAACCCACGCGTGTACCATACTTTCAGTGGCCGGATGGCTTTCAATTTTGATAAAAACCGGGTTTTGGCTAGTTAAACTGGCACCGGTTTTGCCGGTTTTTCATGAACCATACGGTTTTTTCCGGTTCCGAAACAAGCGGTTTTTAGGCCCTTTTGAACCGGATTTGTGACCGGTTCCCAGTTGAACTGGTCGGTCCTGTCCGGTTTTCAAAACAGTGCTCAATGACATAAAGTTGCTCACTTTATCTAGCTTAGGCCCTTTCCATGCACTAAAACCATGTAGGAACCTTAGTTTTGGTGTTCTAGCCTGGTGAGGCCTTGCATACACGTAAAGTTTGCAACTTTACGTGGTAACTACACTAGGAGAAGTTGGATCTGAAGTTTGGGACCTTGGATCTCACTGGAAAGGACTGAACACAAAAAGGACTGAACACAAAAAGGACTGAAGGAACTCATCGAGTCCCTTAGTCGACTCGACGAGTCGGGTAGGGTTTACCCGTTTTCGAGTTTTTGAATGAGTGCAATGAAGGAGTGGAGTTTTCGGTCTACATGAGTTTTTGATCTTCTGGACATTGAGGAACTCGACGAGTTACAAAGGTAACTCGGCGAGTTGATGAGTTACTCAGGTAACTCGACGAGTTGCTGGATGCATTCAGTGAGTTGAGGTCAACATTGATTGTTGACCTTGACTGTTGACTTTGAATTTGACTAGGGTTGACCAGGGTTGACTTTGAGGGCATTTATGGTATTTCGGGATTGTGACAAGTTAATCACATGATGATTATAGGCGGTTGAGTTGGAGCAACACGTGGGATTTATCTGATCTTAGCTTGTCAGTTCAGCATTCACGAGAGGTGAGTTTCCTCACCACACCAATGGGTCTAAGGCACCAAGGCCGACCCATTTTGTGATATGTGGTACACTCGTTTTCGTAGAGATATATGGTATGATAGTTAGTTATGCTTTGTGTTATGCTAGCTATATATGTGATACTTGCAGGGAAGACCATGGGAGGAGCCCATGACACTTGGATGTAAGACCGTGTGGGGGAGCCCATGGATTTTCAAGTAAAGACCATGGGAGGAGCCCATGGCACTTGGATGTAAGACCATGTGGGGGAGTCCATGACCTTCCAGCTAAAAACCATGGGTGGAGCCCATGACACTTAGGTGTAAGACCATGTGGGGGAGCCCATGGCATCCTGGAGTAAGACCTTGGGAGGAGCCCACGACATCCTTATATGTTTGTATGCATGGCTTATGTGGTATATGTAGCTTTTATAGCTAATATGATATATGTTTATGTGGATTGTATGTGGGGTATGCTCTGGGGAACTCACTAAGCATGAGCTTACAGCTTGTGAATTTGTTTCAGGTACATCTGAGCCCATGGGCAAGGGCAAGGCTTGATGTTGCGGCATGCACTCTCTCTCCGACATTTTTATGGGACACTCTGATGATTTGAAATAATATTGTTATTGTTAAGAATTTGAAAACAATTGTATTGAGATTTTATGGTTTATGGAAAGTGTTTTTGACTATTTAAAAATGAAAAAAAAATTTCTTTTGAAAAATCGGGTCGTTACACCAACAAAGTTTATTTTTGTTCGCACTACCGCCCCAAAGAAATCGCCTTCTATATTTCTCTAACACATCAACCACTGAAGAAGGAGTTATAAAAAGGGAAAATAGTAGATCGGCAGGCTGCCGAGCACCGATTTAACCAACGTAAGCCGACCCCCGAATGATAGGGACTTAGCTTTCCAAGAAGAGAGCTTTTTATCCACCCTTTTCCAAAACCGCACCCCAATTTTGTTTAAGCGACATGTTAGCGCCAACCGGAACACCCAAATAAGTAAACGGAAATGAGGCGGCATCACACCCCAAGATACGAGCACAATTGGAAACTTCATCATTAGAAACTCCAATGCCATACACCTTGGATTTATGAAAATTCACTTTAAGTCCTGAAGCCGCATGAAAGCACTTAAGAATTCGAGCTAGGTTGGTAAAATTCGAGCTAAACCACTCTCCCAAAAAAAGAGTGTCATCGGCGTAAAAAAGGTGGGAGAGAATCGCGCCCTTATTAGGCAATTTTATCCCACTAAAAATACATGAGTGAGCCGCAGACTTCATAGCCACGTGAAGTCCTTCCATGGCGATAATGAAGAGAAACGGGGAGAGAGGGTCCCCTTGGCGCACCCCACGCGTAACTTGAAATTCTTTCGTAGCCGAGCCGTTAAGAAGAACTGAGGCCCTAGCCGAGGAGAGACAACCACGAATCCAAAATCTCCATTTTTCCCCGAAACCCATTTGCATCATCACCGAATCCAAATAATTCCAACTTATGGAATCTAAAGCCTTATCAAAATAAAATTTGAAGAGAAAGATCTTGTGTTTGGATTTCTTGGCCCATGCACAAACCTCATTAACAACCAGAGGATCATCAAGAATGTTCCGACCCGTAATGATAGCGGTTTGGACTTCATCAATTACCGAACCCACCACCCTTTTAAGCCTTGAAGCAAGAGTCTTCTTGATGATCTTGTAAACACACCCAATAAGACTTATATGTCGAAACTCGTTTAACGAAATAGGGTCTTTCACCTTGGGCAAGAGAGAAATAAAGGACGAATTACTACCTCTAGAAAAACCTCCATAAGCCTCGAAATGCCTCACGACACACATAATGTCTCCTAGCATTAAATCCTAGAAATGTTTAATAAATTTAAACGTGAAACCATTTAGTCCTGGAGCTTTATCATTCCCACAATTCCAAACCGCATCCTTTATTTCTTTGACACCAAAAGGCATCTCCAAAAATTCCCGATCCCCCGGAGACAATGACTTGAAATTCTGATTAATCAGTGGGGGCGGTCGTGACAAGTTTCATGAAATTTAGCTCTAAAGAAGTTCCAGGTTTCCTGCTTTATAGTGTTGCAATCCGTAATCCACAAGCCGTTGACCATCATCCCATGAGTATTATTTTTTCTATTTTTTCTTTCTAAGGATTTGTGAAAGAAAGATGTGTTCTCATCCCCATTAGCTAACCATTTATTTTTTGTTTTCTGCTCAAGATCTAATCTCGCCATCTTCCCGAGTTCAATTATTTTTTGCTTATAATTACTCCGGGTCTCAATTTCACAATCAGAAAGGAGTCTACTTTCCGCAAGTATCTCAAAGTCATTCACTTTAGTTCTAAGCCCAACCAAATCTTTGCATTCTTTTTCAAACTCCACACGTTTCCATACTTTGATGGCATGCTTAACAAATTTAAGTTTATCAGACAAATACAGATCCGGGGCCCTACTACCATCAAAAGTATTCCAAGCCTTAATTACAACCGCCTCAAACCCATCTCGCAAGAGCCACGAATTAAACAAATGGAAAGCAGGTTTCCCAAAATCCAAAAAATTCGTTCTCAAAAGAATCGACGAGTGATCGGAATATTCCCTAGGTAAGGCTGTGACAAAAGCGGAGGGAAAAGCGGATAAAAAATTAGGACAAACCAAGAAACGATCAAGCTTACTCGGCTTGCAGCCCACCTCACTAAAATAAGTGTATCTTCTCCCTCCTATGTTCAGATCTAGAAGCGCAGCTTCTGAGATGAAACTGTTAAACGCCTTTGCAATTTTAGGACAGAAAACAGAATTGACCCGTTCCTCTGCTCTCCTCATGGCATTAAAGTCTCCAAAAAACACCCAATTACCGAGCCTAGACCGCATCAAGTTCTATAAATTCTTCCATAACTGTTTCTTTTCTCCAGCTTCCTGAGGCGCATAGACATTAACAATGATAGTTTCCCAAACAGTTCCATTCCAATAACCCACCATCGCCATGTAATATCTATTCTTTATAATAGAGATAACCTAGAAAATTCCTTTGTCCTCGAAAACATCAAACCACCAGAAAGGCCATTTGATTTAACGGAATCAATACCCACGCTGCATGAGCCCCACCACCTATCGATTCCGACCGGTAGAGAAGAGACCCGGGTCTCTTGCAACCCACAAATGGAGAAACTGAGTTCTCTTCTAAGCCTAGCCAACCACTCATTTTTGTGTGAATTACATACCCCCTAATGTTTAGTGAAAGGACATTCATTGGATACCTGGTTTTACACCTCCACCACAGAGAGTCTCCTTAAGCGTCGGATTCCCACGAGCAATCTGGAATCCCACTTGTTTCCCCACCTCGATTGTTTGATCCACCTCCATAGAAGAAGAAGAAAGAGAAGGTGAATTAGGGTTACCCGTAGAATTGACACCAACACCATCATTACGCACATAATTGCTTGGAGATTGAGGAGTTCTTCTGTTAAGATCAAGCGAGTTATCATGAGGAGAGCTCCTGGAAACTCTAAGTCGAACTCTTGAGTCAAAGGAAGAAAACAAAGCTTTTAATTTGGTTCTCCTTCTTTTGAGCCCAGAACCTCCCATTTCGAAATCTGGACTGATCGCTTCATCATTACGCCTAGGAGTGTGAGGGAGTTCAACATATTTGGCCCAATTTGTGTCGGCTGACCCGCCTTTCTCGCCCAGATCCAAACCACAAGTGGAGTTAATTCTCCCATTAATTTCCAAGGCGGTCTCGAGAACCACGTCATCATGAGGCAACGCCCCATCGAACCCATGCACCTCCTTGTTTCCTTCATGCACATCCACACACAGCTTTTTGAGTATCCCCTCTTTGTCAACCACTGGAGGTTCGTTCGCCACCGCCCCACCGCTACCCAAACTAGGGACGAATTTACCTTCCTCTAGGATGACCTTATCAGACGAGACGGAAAATTCATCACCATCATCAGATTCCTCCTCAGACTCGTCGGAAGATGAATGAGAGGAGGGTCGGAATGGAACCCAATCATCATCGACCTCATAAACTCTTACAGATTGAATAACCCCCACAAAAGATATCGGAATTTCCTCGTTGATCCTTTTCAAACTGTGAGTAAGTATACAAAGCTTCCCACTGGAAACATCGGAACAGTTCCAGAATGGGGCAACATTGACCAAAACTTTTCCAAAAGACTCGGCTATGGCTGCGAAGTTAGACTCATCCCAAGCCGGAATCGGTACCCCGACAATTTTAATCCACGCAATTCTGCCAGGACTTGAACGAACCTTCCCAAACAAATCAACCCAAATGAACCACTTCAGCCAAATACATTTATTGGCCTTGAAAACCTCCACTGACCTTTCAGACCTGAATTTGACAGCGACCTGCATTACCCTTATATACTTTACCTCCAAAACATCATAACCTTCAAGGTCCAACAAAGTAGGAAAGTTACAAATTAATTCGTAATTCCTAACTTCTCCCACCAAAACCGATTTGTCAGCCCATTTGAGAACTTCCGAAATCCCCTCCAAACTAGCTGCAACCATCTTAGCCACTTCCGTCATTCCTTTTGTAACTTCAGCAAAAGATCTTGTTCCTCTAGGGGCTGGTTTGAACACCCTAGGAGCAATGACTGAGGATCGCCTGGACGTGACATGATATGCCCGCTTGGGATGAATCGCACAGTTAGCAACCAACTTCCTACCTCTGCAAGTAATTTCATTGAGTCCCTTAACAATGTTGTCGATCTCCTTCTTATCTTTTACAGTGGCGAATTTGAACAAAGCGAAGAAGGAACCCGAAGAGTCCCTCCTCCCCGCAATGTAGATATCTGAAAGATTTTCCAACGAAGCACAAGATTTCCAAATCTCCTTATTTAATGCATCACCTGGAAGGTTAGAAACGTAGAAGGAGGTAAGATTCTCTACGTTCGCCGCCTTGAAAGTTGCCGCCTCCGTCTTAGAGCCCTATGCCGTAACCTTGGAAGTGCCTTTTCGCCTGATCTCAACGCCACTCGCTCTCTCTCGTCTCTATTTTATACAACAAAATAATTTGAAGATACCTATTGAATTACCCTATAAAATATGATTTACCATTTTTTTTAATTGTTTAAAAATTATGGGATATGCCCGAATAGATACTAACTTTTAGTACAGCAGAGCCTAGTATTGACTTTGATTGAACAAAAGGACACAAAGGGCCGTTACGCATCAAGTCATAAAACACTATCCAGTATCCATGTCTTTTCAACAAAGTCATAAAAACTCTGCCAATATTCTCCAAGATCTTCCATTTAATAATCTTCCTGCCATGCTTTCTGGACAAGTGTCCTAAATCCTAATAACTAACCCAAAAAGTTTGTTGCTTTTTGAACCCTCGTGCATGACTCTCATTACTCTTTCTTAGACTTGATCATTCATTCCACTCTTTATTTAGTTTGTTTTCTTTCGGGTTCATCATTTCTAACTGGTTTTCAAAGATTTCTTGGAGAAAACGAGTCAAAGTGTTGATCTTTCGCTTAACATTTTCTTGGGTCTCCTTCATTCATTAGTAATTCGGTTTTGATTCCAAATGGGTTTTCCAAGATTTCTTGAAGAGAAAGATCCACGATCTTCCCTCTAACTTGAGTAAGTTATAGTTTTAAGCCTTCCCATTTCAATATTGCTTCAATTTGAGATCTAAATGTGTTAATTTCTCTTGGGTTTTAGTTCATTGTTCCTTTTTCTTGAAACTCCATACTACCCATCTTATATTCGGTTAATCTTCATGGGTTCTCATCAAAATGTCGTCTTGTCAAACCCCTCATTTGTTGGTCAGCAAGAATTTAATTCAAATGGTATAATGGAGAAAAAAGACGGATTTATAGGTGTTCTTGATGTTTTCATACATCAAGCTAGAGATATTCATAATATATGTATTTACCATAAACAAGATGTCTACGCTAAGATTTTCTTGACTAGTGACCCGGAATCAACCGAGTCAACTCAGACAATCAACGGGGGTGGACAAAATCCAGTTTTTAACGAAAATCTAAAGATCAATGTCCGAACAGGGGATTGTTCTTTGAGATGTGAAATTTGGATGCTTAGTAGAGTCAAAAACTATCTTGAAGATCAACTTTTAGGGTTTGCATTAGTGCCTTTACGTGAAATTATCGTCAAAAATCAGAAGTTTGAAAAGGAATTTGAACTCTCAACGAGTGAACTTCTCCATTCTCCATCTGGGTTTGTTAAATTAAGCGTCAATTACATCGGATCTTCACCATTTGATATGTCAGAAATTCATTATGTTCCTCATTCTTTATGTAATCAAGATTCAGATGAATCTGATGAAATTTCTTGTGAGCTTGAAAAGATCGAGTTTCCAGATCCAAAACTCATTAACGAAAACGAGATCATGGTTTCTGAATATTACTCACACGCTACTGAAAACGATGATTCTATTACTTCATATTCAAAGGATCATTTACTTTCAAGTATCCCACAAGAAAACCTTGAAATTGTTTCAAGAAACAGTTCAAAATCACCAGAGAAGAAAGACGACAACACTGAAACTGAAACAGAGCATCAAGTCATGCAACAAGAGATTGTAAACATGTACTTGAAAAGCATGAAGCAGTTCACCGAAGCTCTAGCAAAGATGAAACTTCCGATTGAAAAAGGAAACGAGTCAACTCATACTACAGAGTCAAACCCAAAAGTGTTTTATGGAAGCAGAGCATTCTTCTGAGTTCTGAACCATGTTATTTGATTGGTTCAGAGGTAATTTCATGTTTCAGATGAGAAATAAGATCGTTTATGTGATTTTGGAGTTTGGTTTCACTTCATTTCTTTCAGACTTTTAGTGTATGTAATGTGTGGTTAAATAATGATTTTATATGCCTATTATTATATGCTTTCACTTGATGAATTTTGATGAAAGGATGTTGAAATTAAGGTTTATTATGAATATTGCATTACCATGTGAAAACAGAGGTCATGATTTGTGTCAAGAATGGTGGAAATGATGGATGTTTTTCTCTTTGGTAAAGTATTCATGTTTGGGCATGGGCTTGTAATCAAGCATCAAAGAGTAAGCTTTTTGAGTCTGTCATTTTTGCTGTTATTTTTGGTTATGTTAAGGTTTGCTACTTAAGTTTCATTTTTATACATTTATATGAAAATTGGGTAAATGTAATTTATTTGTTATGATAATTGTTAAAAAGGAAAATTGCTTTTTTCCCAATCTTGGCATTTGTAGGTATGTTTGTAGAAGTAATTTAGATATAATTTCATCAAATGTTTTTTTTTATTGTATATCAACCATTTCTATTACTATAACAATTTCAACTGTTGTATATGTACCTTTGGCTAGAGGTGCACAAAAGTCGGACACTAGATTTTATATCCGATTCAAATCGGATCACTTTTTTAGATATTGGACATTTGATAAATCCAGACCAGATTTTTTTTGGAAATGTATATATACCTGGATGGATACAGATTTGGATAACCCGAATTTGAATCTGTCAGATCTTATATATCCGATCCAAATATTATGGATCGGATTTTAAAATAAAATCCAAGTCGGATATTCGGATCCAAAAAAAATCCGGATACAATTGTATGTTTGTTTTAGAGCATAGGCTAAAGGTTTATATGGGCTCGTGTTAATAGTTTGAGGCCCAGCCATTTTAATATAAACTTATATTTATCTGTGTATCATATAAGGTCTAGTTAGGTTAGTTTTATAACAATAATTTTTTCACATCAATTTTACATTGTCTGTTTAGAGCTCTGAAACATTATCTATGTGTTTCATCTTGAATCTTTTTTACTGCTGCTAATTTTTATAGAGTATTTCCAATATAGTATTTATTAAAAAAATTGGATCACAAAATTTCGTACATTCTTATTGTTAATTTGAACGAGTATGCCTAATTATATTATCGAAATTGTTTTGTAAGTTGTCATATTGTGAAATATCATATAAAATTACTAAATTTAAGAGTAATAATACGTCAATATATTCGCAATAATCTTATTAAATAATAACAAACTTTTAGTTTTGTTCTAATTAGGTTACTTAAATATTTTTCAAAAGCTTAACTACCACAAGGTCTACTTTTTATTTTTCATACATATATTAAGTTACACTAGAATAATATATATGAAAAAATAGATAATAAGATATTAATTAATTAAGTATAATGAAACATAAAATCTATATTAAACTATTTTTATTCAACAAATAATAAATAAAGTTATATAAAAAAAAGTACGTATATATTCTTTCAATAAACTTAATGATAATAAAGTAGATACTAACAATATTCAATACTGTTATCATTTTAAAACTATTGGCAATATATTTTTATTAATTAATTATATTCTTCTTTAACAAATTAGTTATGTAAAAGAAGAATATAACTTATTATAGATTCATAATATATAAAGTAAATATATTTAGATAATACAGTTAATCAATTATACAAATGTAAAATACAAATTAGAAACAAATATGTTAGCTTGTTAGGCGTTTGCTATGTCACTCATTGTATTGTGATCACTAATTAAATGAAAAATTTTAGATGAAAAATACTAAAATGGGGAAAAAAACAAATAATACGGAAATGTTTATATGGAAGCAAATCCTTAAGTGGGTTTTCTTTAATATTATGTGGCGTTTTTATGTCGAAACCGGAAAAAGTATTTTTTTTTACAGGAATTCAATTACATTACTTGTTATGATTTAATAATATTATTCCGAGAATACCCAAAACAAAATCTTGAAAATCTTTACAACCTCTCAAGGCTTTTGATGAATTTGTGCAGCTTTTACACAAGATTTAGAAAAGTAGTGAAGCCATTTTTGGTCCTGTTTTCATGCTCAAACAGCCTGCAACAGTTGCTCCATTTGAGAATATTGAAAAAGTTGAAGGCAAAATGAGTGTGTTAGGAACAACATTTGGTCCCTCTTTGAGATACCCAAAACCTCATCATTCATCTTCTAATGAAACCCAATAGTAAACTATGAATGCTTTTATGGACAATGGTTTTCACTTTTACTCTTTGTGTGAATTTTGTAATAAAATATGTTCCCTAAAAGTAGTAGTCGACTTATCCTTCTTTTATACATGGCAGACCTTTTTAGCCATGAAGATTGTGATTTCAAGAAAGGATTTTCAAAACTCAAATGGACCACCACGTTGTGTTTTTCCAAACTTTAGGTAATCATTCAAAATTTTGTTTACATTAGTTATCGGGTTTGACCATCATGAGAGAACATATATGTTCAAAGAGGCATGGAACTTCAATCTTAAGAGTCAAAAAGGCATATATGTTATAGAGTTAGCATCCAATAATAAGTTATAAATCCTAAAAACTCCACTTAAAATGTAAATCTTTTTTTACATAACTTTTTTAAAAATGATGATAACAAAAGTACCCTTACAAATCGTCTAAGAGATACGGTGATTTTTTTGCAAAAAAATAAAACATTTTTATATGCATATTTAAAAAAAAATGAATGTCTTCGACAAAATTTATATGTTTGTTTGGTGTTGTTTTTTTTGGTTCCATATATGTAACATGATCAACATATACAAATATACATATGTATATGAATATACGGAAACAAAGTTTGTCTTTTTTCAAAACAAAAATTCATATATCTCTTAGACGCATATAATTAAAAAAATTGGTGTTTTCTTTAAATATTGCATAGAATAAAAAAAACGTCTTAGTTTCACTATAACTCTACTCATATTTTTAGAGTTTCAAAAACATGTATCGGATATATGGTGGTGGTTTTTGTTTAAAATGTCTATTAATAGCAATTTGCCCTTGTGCCCCAACCAAAAAATTGGTGCACTTTATTTCTATAAACTAGAAAGTAGAAACACCTCTTATTGGGTGCGTGGTGGTTATTCCATTAATATCCTATTTATTTGTCATAAAAATTGTATAAAGGGTTGGAAAATATGTGGGCCTACTGAGTTCATGAAAAACATGATTATTGTCACTGTCAACTGTGAAGCAGATGTTGAAAAACATGTGGGCTTGACGAGTTCATTCAACAATCAAAATGGGTTATTTTCGTACATTATTGAAGTAAGTTAGATTAGAACGGAATTGGTGGTCCTGATTGGTTTTGATTGGTTTTAAAACAGTCTATTTTTTTTTTTATGGATCGGTTTTAAAATGGTTCGGTTTTTCTTTGAAACGGTCTCAGTATGATTTTTTACCGGTCCTTTTTGGACTAGACTTTTTGGGACCGGTCTCGATTCTTTTCGGTCCGGTTTTGTGTTCTTTGCGTGTACCTTTTGCAGTTTAGTTTCGGTATTTCTCAGCTTTTTTGTTTCGGTTTCGAGTTTTTTCATCAAAAATGTGTGATTAACACCAAAATAATACATTAAAATTAATAAAAATGATGCACTAAAGTTTATTAAAGAAATAAGGAAGAAGTTGGGTAATTTGTGATTAAAATAGACTCGGTCTTTTTTTAGACTCGTCTCATGTCAGTCTCGGAACAACCCGATCTCTTTTGGTACCGGTTTCGGAATTGTCAAGGAAGGTCTCGAGCCGGTCCGGTCTTGTTTTAGACAGGTTTTGTCTCAGTCTTTTTTTAGGATCGATCTTTTTATTCATATCTAGGTTAGATTGATCAAAAAGAATCTTGTCATGTATTCATTTTATAAATGTTGTGAATATAAATATTATAACATCCGACAATTGTAACTAGAAATTTATAGTTATTAATTTATTTATAATTAATTTATGATTAATACGGACGTTTCATTGTAGGTGTCTTTCAAGAATAAAAATGTTTAAAATAACTCAAGGTAACACGTCTCCAAATAAAGTTTAAGATTAAGGGGGTGTTTGAGATTACTTTTTGAGCTTAAAAGTTATTTGGGAAAATGACTTAGCAAGGTAATTAACTTTTCGGTATGTTCACATCTGGCTAACTATCTTTTTTTGTACATATCTAGGTAACAAACTTGTTAGAAGTGTTCACATATGACCATTATGACCTGTTGTAGCAGATTACATCCTAGATGTGAACACTTTTGACAAGTTCGTTACCTAGATGTGTACAAAAAAATAGTTCGCAAATATGAACAAAACCAAAAGTAAGAGTAAATTACAAGAATGATCCCTGTGGTTTGGAGGAATTTGTATTTTTGGGCCCTAACTTATTTTTTTAGCTCGGATGGTCCCTACTATTTATTTTTGTTGCACTTTTGGTCCCTGTCTTACCTAAAAAGATTATTGTGCCCTTATTAGTTTATTTTTAATTAATTTTCTTATTTATGTATTTATTTTTTATATATTAAAAAAAATTAATAGACCCCACATATTTGTATCTCCTCGGATGATCCCTACTGTTTATTTTTTAATTAATTTATTTTTTAACTCGGATGATCCTTACTGTCTATTTTTGTTATGCGTTTGGTCTCTGTCTTACCTAAAAAGACTATTGTGCCCTTATTAATTAATTTTCTTATTTATGTATTTATTCTTTATATATTTAAAAAAAATAATAGACCCTACATATCTGTATCTCCTCACCATCACATCTCTCATCCTCCTCAGCTTCTATTTATTTTTTATCTTTAGTGATATCGACGTCTTCACCATCCCCTCTTTTTTCGGTCCTTCAACTCCGTCGAATTAACACCACAACCCAGTGAACCCACTAAAGATGAAGAAACAATGGGTTATGGTGTTGGTTCGCCAGAGTTGAAG